AATTTCACAGTAACGAGAACAAATATGAAATAAAACCACTCATACAAAAGTGCTTTCACCCTTCATCATTGCGTCATATCACTCTTAGAGGCCATGTGAAGTGGCACAGGAATACTGAGCCAAAGACTTTAATAATAATGGCTTTCTTTTATAAGTAGATGCCAATATTTTCTAATTTTTGTTTTTCATCTGTGGGTGTTACCATCATTAATTGATATGCTTATTGTCAGGTGTCGAAACTACGCTCATCCACCGGCTTTGTCCACTGTCGTCACTGTCCCCGGCTCTATGGTCGTCAAGGTCCACAGGCTGTGTCTACAGTCATCAGTGCTACCGGCTCTGTTCACTGTCGCCTGGGCCACCAGCTCACCGTCGCAAGTGCCACAGGCTGTGTCCATTGTCGCCAATGACATTAGTTCCGTCCATCGTAACCAGCGCCACCAGCCCCGTCAGCCGTCCACAGCTAATTATGCCAAGCGATTATAGCCAGGGGGAAACTTTTGACTGGCAAATAATACTGACTGAAGTTCGTGTAGTAATGCAGAAACCCCAAGCTTGATGAACCTCTATGAAAATATGGCATATTAACCGTGTATAAATATTTTATTAAATCACTCTATAATGTTTATCATCTATTACACTAAAAACAACTTTTAATTGTTTCTGAGATCGTTTAAAGTCAGTCATTAACACCTTTTTTTTTGTTTTAACTTGGTGTGATATTTGTGGGATTGAACACGAAGATTCCGCCGTTGTGCTTATGTTAACTATATTGGCCGAAAATATAAGGAGTGACTAATACTCAGTAGATTATTCACTAACAGGCACGGACCTATCACAGGCTTGAAAGTTTGTCTCAATACAACCGCAGTGAAAGGTATTTCCAGAACAGCGGTTCACTTAGGCTGTTGAAACACAGTGTGTAAATGTGATGAATCGGGTGTATTTCTTATATACCCGCCTTCAGGCTGTTTGCAAGGGCTCCATGGGACCACACCTGGCACTAATATCCTTCCAAAAGGACTATGTACGACAGTACCTGAAGCTAGAGACCATCCACCTCAAAACATCATGATGCTGAGGGAATATACGGTAGGATTACTCCACACTTTATCCACGTAGTAGAAAAAAAAGATGAACTAGATCATAGGAGTCGGCGGAATCTCCAGCTCTCAGTGCCTCTTCATGTGGAGGGACAGGTGGTCGGACCGGGAGAAGGACCTCTGGCACAATTGACATTTGAAGGGTTTTTGACCCGTGTGTTTACGGTAGTGGCGCGTCAGCTCGTCAGACCTTGCGAACCTCCACTTACAGCCGTCCCATGTGCAATGGTATGGTTTCTCTCCTGGAAAATATATACACAGTGTTTATAATTATTGATAAGGACTTGGAAATAGTGTGTGACAATATTCAAGATAACTTTAAAGGAAGAGTAGGAAATGTCTTCCAGCATACCTGTATGAGTACGTTTGTGAGCCTTGAGATGTGAGCTCTTAGTGTAGACTTTTTCACAACCTTCAAAGTCACAGCGATGTGCTTTCCGCCGTCTTAGAGCGTCTGAGTAGTCCGCAGACGAAGGAGGTGGTCGGCCTGGAGGCCTAGCTACCGCTGGTGGAGATGAAGGCGACGACGAAGATGACGATGACGATGAAATGGTGGATGAGGTAAGTGTTGTGGTTTGAGGTGGCGGAGAAGCCAGGTGGCTTCCAGACGAGCTACACAAGGGTGGTGGAGACGGACTCTCACTTAAGGACCGTTTCCCGTAGAGCGCTCTGTTGGGCAAAATGTGAACACTTGTAAACATTGCACTATACGAAATGTATTAGGCACACAATTAAGGTTTTGTAACCATTGAAGTCATTACCACACTGATAGTCTCACAATGAAGGGAAAATATATGACAGAAAATCACTATTTACTGCAGGGAGAGCCATTATAATTACACTCTGTTACATGGCCACGTCAGTTGGTATGCTCTACTGTATACGACTTTGTTAAATAATATTTTTTTCTCAACTCTTAGAATATCTTTATTTTATAATTTGTAGAACTTATTGTTTTGGTTATTTGTGACTTCAATCCAATGGAGAATATTTACTTTAAGAAAAAAGGTAGAAAGTGAAAGAATACAGAAATGAAAGTATTTTACCCAATAACATTTCCATACATGATTTTCCTCTCATGTCATGTTAAATCGATAAAACTGAAATACTTACAATGATGCTTCACGTATCCTCTGCAAGGACAGGAAGGGCGAGGTACCATTGTGGAAAGCGCTCTCCAGGTTCATGTTGAGTGTATCTATAGGGCTATTGCCTAGCTCTGGAAAAGGAATTAAAAATATGCACTTAAACAACTGATGTATCACTTTATGTTGCAGATGGTCAAGGGGCAGTGTAAGATCTGACGCACGACATTTGGCTACAAGACGAAAATATCACTACTGGGCCAATCCATGTGACACAGGTTAGATCTTATACTGAACCTCCCTCTTATGCATATATATATAAATTATGGGACTAAATAAAACCCTTTAAGACCATTTTAATATTCTAATATACCCGAATATATCTGTTTCTTTTTGTAAGAAAGCATTAGAAAACAAAGATTGCATTACCTACCAGATTTGAGTGTGAGATCCAGTCCAAGTGGTAGAGGCAGAGATGCGGGGAACCTTGACATACGTAGTAGGAAAGACGAATCACTACTTCGAAGAGGTGAGCTACTAGTGCCCACCAACTCTTCAGGGCTCATACAGGGAAAGCTGGTACTTTGGAGGGGAAGACCCATCTGGAGACCTGGTAGATCGAGACTTACTAGGCCGCTGCGGTTCGGGGAATGTTTAGGAGATTTTTTACTGGTGAAAGAAGAGCTAGAGGTCACCGCTGTTAGATGTGTCTCCGCCGTCACGCATTGCTGGACGGGTAATGACGATGTTGATGACGATGACTGTGTGTGCGTAGTGGAAGGTACAGTGATGCTGTAAGTTATCGAAGGTTTGGGTGACACACGAGCCTCTACGTTGCATTTTGTATAACTTGATAATTGTTTCAAAGCCAAAGTGGAAGTTTCACACTCTGAACGTTTAGTTATAATCCCGCGATCGGAAACTTTCTGTGTGTTTTCCACAGACACTCTTGGTATTCTGTCGCACGGAACTCTTTGCAATTTCTCTTCAGGTGCCTTCGGTTCTCCAGAGAGGGTACTTGAGTGGTCACCATGATGCCTCTGCACTCGTTCTTTTAAATCTCGATCATTTGACTCTTTACGTATTCTCTCGCACAGCATTTTCTGTGTTGGGATGCTTGGGGCTCTGTGTTCACCTATCACTGGAGGTCGATCATCCGGCGGTAGCCTACGAACTTTATCACCGGAGTTCCTGAGAGGGCTGTAATTTATGGGACCAGAGGGAGGCCTAGGAGGCCCATGGTGCTCAGGGTGAAAACTGCGATTGACAGAGGACGGAGGAAGCCTGAGAAGTGGTCCCTGTGGCCCAGTTTGTTGTCCATGGACGGAGGGACTAACAGGGAGCCTGGGGAGAGGCTGGACATGACCAGGGCCAAGTTGAGGCTCAGCCAATCGGTCGTCCTTAGATTTGACACTCAGGTCCACTGGTTCTAACTGCTCAGGTGGCACCTCCGCCTGTCAAAGAGAACAGAAAATAATCGTAAAACATCATATAAATACCGCAAAATATCATCTGTCAATCTAAATAATGCCTTTTCACAGAGACGCGGAGACCTAAAATTTAATCACATACTAACTCACAGTAAACTATATATTTCAAGAATAATTACTAAATCAGCTAAAATTACAATGAAGAATCACACAATGACATCTTATTTTATCTCCTTATTTTTTAAGTATTTAATAATCCTTCTTAAAGAACAGGCGAGTCGTAGTCAAAATAATTTACGTGTACTTAGTAGACATTTAAACCCTAACAATCCTTCAAGCCCTAATTCCTAGGGCTACCCTTCCCTTCACTGCATCCAACCTGATTACCTCCCATACCCGAAACTCTGAATAAATTGCGGATTTAGCCCGTCCTTCATGAATTAAATAATAGAATAGATAATCTAAAAATTAACTAAATAATCCAACCAATACAAAAATAGTCTAAAAAATAATAAAATAATCTAAAAAATAACAAAATGATCTAAAATAACAAAATAATTGGAATATCTAACGATACACATCAGCACTTTTTTTATATTAGGTTGACTGGGGAAGCCCTAAATCCATTCGGGTTTTTCAGGATTTGACTCAGGCACGTACCTCTCTGGACATGCTGTTAGGGTGGTTGGCGAGGTGGGTGTCATGCTCGGGCACCATGGCCTGGGCGCAGGATCAGGGGGCGACGCTCCCCTCTGTCTTCAATAAACAACCTGAAATGCAGAAATGTTTGGAGCTTAGTGTTGGGTGGTTGCAAAGAGGTACACAAGGTAACACTATTTTTTTTACTCTGTGTCACTGTCTGTCTGCCTCTCTCTCTCTCTCACGTGTTGTCTTTATTTTTTCTGTTAGTGCCTTTACTGACCGTCTGGACTTTATTTTCCTTTGTTGCCGAATCAACAGCCATTACGAAAATAATAATAATAATAATAATAATAATAATAATAATAATAATAATAATAATAATAATAATAATAATAATAATAATAATAATAATAATAACAGCGTAGCGTTCGTAAAACTCAAAACAAAAGACGGAGGGTTGAAGGAGGTGGTCGTAGAGACTATGGAAGAGTTGGAGGGAGGGAATTAGAAGACGTATGAGGAGGAAAAAGAGGTGGAAGGGGTTAAGGAGGAAGCAGAGAGAGCCGTGAGAAAGGACAGAGCAAAGTGGAGAGGTAATTGCAACTTATTCAGTTTTGACATACTGTTTTATCGTGGTGTGTGTGTGTGTGTATGTGTGTGTGTGTGTGTGTGTGTGTGTGTGTGTGTGTGTGTGTGTGTGTGTGTGTGTGTGTGTGTGTATGTGTGTGTGTGTGTGTGTGTGTGTGTGTGTGTGTGTGTGTGTGTGTGTGTGTGTGTGTGTGTGTGTGTGTGTTTGTGTGTGTGTGTGTATGTGTGTGTGTGTGTGTGTATGTGTGTGTGTGTGTACTCATGTAAACTCTGCTGCCTGCGCTTTTACGACCCATTTAACCCTTTTAAAAAAACCTCTCTGTCAAATTTGCTGTTTCCTACACGTATAAGGATGATTGCACAATTCCAAGAGCCGTTGGTCTTATTATCCACCAGCAACCTCCAGCTGCTCTCCTGGGACCTTTAATAAGTATTTCTGCATTATACACGTGGCCACTGTACTCCTGACTGCGTAATGAGCCTTAATGACTCGCAGAGGCATGCTAATTTTGCCACGATTAATGTGTAATAGGCATTGCCGGGGGGTAGACAGGTGGGTGTTGCCTTGAGGCGCATAAGTAGGTGCGGAGGGAGGTGTGTAGGTGGGTGGAGGTGGGGAGTACGCAGGTAGATGGGAAGGGAAATACGCAGGTTGGGAAGGGAAGTATGCAGGTAGGTGGAGCTGGGGACTGCGCAAGTAGGTGGAAAAGGGAGGTACGCAGTTGAGTGAAGACGCAAACGGGAGCTATAATAAGAAGTACGCATGATGGAAGGAAAAACGAACGCTGGTTAAGAGTTAAGGAAGAGAACTTGAGTGAACCCAAAAGAGATAGAGAGGTGGAAAAAATGTAAACAAAAAAGGAAAAAAATATATGCAAACAGCGAATGAAAACAATGTAAGAGAAAGAAATTACGTGCAACGAGGAGTAGAATAACAGGTGAAAGCAAAAAGAGAGAGAGAGGAAGAGATTTATGCAGAGAAAACTGTACATGAACAATACAGGACCATTTGCCAGACTATCTATTAACCTGTGCGATTTTCCCAGCAGGTAATCTCGTTGGGTAGGGAACAAGAGATACCCACCACAGACATGGAGGAGCTGAGTGCTCACAAGATTGTTATGAATGTTATGTCCCACCATCAAGCATCATGTTTCATGACAAAACACGAATGACCTACGTTGGTTTAGCCCTTCAAACGAATTATTTATTTATGTAATGCAGGAAGGAGGATCGATCCTTCACTATTCCTCGTCGTGCTGTATGACTCTCATATATATATATATATATATATATATATATATATATATATATATATATATATATATATATATATATATATATTTATATATTTAAATATATATATATATATATATATATATATATATATATATATATATATATATATATATATATATATATATATATATATATATATACATATGTTGTGCCGAATAGGTAAAACTTGCGATTTTGGCTTAAATAGCAACAAGGTGCGTATAACCAAGTGTATATACCCTGAATTTAATCATTATTTTAGTGATTTAATTACCCTTGTCTTGTAGTACACAGGTTACATGTAGCCTTAATAACCCTTGAGCAGTAGACTGGTGATATATCTTATACACAGACAAACCCATCCATGAGTGAATAACAGGAACATGTTACTTGAAAAACAACAGATGGACGACATTAAGACTAATATGCTCAAAAAAAAGATGGGGTTACTTGCTTATATGGCTGGTGTATTTGTTCCATGTATGTATAAAAGAAGGGAAAGTACCGTAGATTATTTGAGAGCATTCGCAGTTCCTTTTGTATTAGAGGAAAGGTCAAAGGAGAATGTAAGAATTACAGGGGAATACGTATGAAGAATATACGAGGTTAAGTGCATGTGATTTTTTTCGAGTAATAGAAAGTATAGAAAGTTTAATCGAGGATGAACGAAACTGGGTTAGGAAAGTAAGAGAATCTGTGGATCAAGTGTTTACGTCGAAGTGCGTTTGCAATACTCAGATAGGGAAAAGAAGTCTCTGGCTCCACTTATAGATTTGGATGAGGCTACAGTAAGGTGGATAGGGGAACGACGTGGCTAATGGTTCAATTTTATGATAGTGATGGTAAATTATTGATGTAGTGAAGGCTATTTATGAAGAGATTAAGGCTATGATTGATGTTTTCATTAAAGCTTTAATTAGCAACATTAACTAGAGAGTTCAGTTCCATGCAATCAGTGACATACGAGTCAGTGTACCATCAGTTTGTTGTTGCAAATAGACTGTTGGTAAGTAAATGGATACAGATGCAACTAATGTGACTTTTGTTATAGCAACGTTTTGCCCGTAATTCTGCCATCATTACAAAACTGTTGGTTCCCTAAGAACTCGTAGGTTACGGACAGCATGAAACTGAATAATTGTATTATTAATTGTAATAATGGTACATTCTTGGGTATAATTTTGGTATTCTTTGGGAATCCCTTGACCCATGAGAGTCGTACATCACCATGGGAATGGAAAGGATAAGATGTAATCAGGTTCGTTCCGAGGAAGTAGACTTTAGCTCCAGTTCTTCAAATAAAGAGATAGATTTTGATCATCGTCAGATTTTCAACACAAGAATACGGCATCATGGGCAAAGTTCAGGTAATTATTGGCAACACAAGAATACGGCATCATGGGCAAAGTTCAGGTAATTATTGGCATTTGTAGGTGTCCTAATGATCAAAGTCATACAACCCATTCTCCAAAATTTTTGAAAAGGGTTCGATAACTTTCAAAAGCCTCTGCTGCTTGGCTTTAAACGTTAAAAAAGATGCATCGTGATTCGATGATGATGAAGACTAAAACTAAAGTACGTAGGAACATATTTGCCAATTTTACATAGAAAATTGTTTTAATTATTTATTCCCGTTAAACCAGGTTTAAGTATTTAGTGATTGGTGCATCTTACGGATAGGATATTACCCATTAAGTTTAGTTTGTGTGCGGGCATATTTCTAAATTAGTTTTAAAAAAACTTAGAATTCGTAAAATCTGTGGGGCAGCTAGAGAATGCTTTTTCCGATCGGCTTTAAATTTTCAGCCCTGGTGTATTTTCCAGAAAGCAAAGTACACGCTGTTATTGAGCTGTATAAATCCCCGTTTGCCAGTTTTATTAAATAAAGTCTGATGGTGAATTTGACTCCGTAACTGAAGAAAACCTCGTCTAAACTTCTGCAAACTAATACAGCTGATACATTCCACATGATTTATGACACCTGATAACTTCAGACTATGTTAGTGCAACTTCCTAATTTTAAATGGCATTTTTAAAAAATAGGAATCGTTGGAATCATAGTTATTTCTGGAGAATGCCATTTATTCGGGGGCATTCCTGGCATAGCTGACGCTCTCGATCTTGTAAAAGTTATGCAGCGGGCATACTTCAGTATGACATTTAAGTATATTGAGGAAAAGTTTCGCCCCACACTGGCTTCATCAGTCCAATACAAAGGAGAATATTGAAGAGCCATTTACCTACATACTTTAGTATGCTAGCGTGTATATACCCTTTAGCATTCAGGCATATATTCATTCGTTGAATCATCTAGTATTCATGCATATATCTAGTCTACATAATTCTGTATTCAATAAAGCATAGGTAGCCGTTATTCTACTGACGTTTATGAATTAAATATTCTCTGTTGTTGCATCTTTCTCTTCTCGTTATCCTTATATATCTCCATAGTAAGAATTCACATACAATCAAGATAGCATCATTGATGCTGTGTTTTACCTCCTCCTACCTTACACGGTGACATGAAGAGTCCTTGTCAATTCGTCTACGTTCATTAGCGGAAGACCGAGAAGGTGAGGACCCCCTGTTGATACTGTGTGGTCGAGTGTGGTCCAAATTCGGCCAGAGTGCGGCACCCCGCAGTCTCCTATGGTTGCGGCCATTGTAAGCCAGGTTGCGCTGATTAATGACTGCAATAACTGCCTTACCTGGCATCTCTTTTCGCACTGTGCGAAGGAAACAGTTGACCTGGTGTGTGTGTGTGTGTGTGTGTGTGTGTGTGTGTGTGTGTGTGTGTGTGTGTGTGTGTGAGTGTGTGTGTGTGACTCGGGTTCGAGTCACAGCTCCCGGACACCTAACTTTTAATAATGTAATAACTGACGAAATTAAGACCCATGTGCAACATCTGGGTATCTTTATTGTAGACGTTTCGCCATCCAGTGGCTTTATCACTACAAATTCCAGGACATAACTTGAAGACAGTAGGACTATATACAGAAGATGAGGTAATCAGTCCCTCAACCTAGGAGGAGGTGCGAAGAGCACCATAGTCGTGGTGCTCTTCGCACCTACTCCTAGGTTGAGGGACTGATTACCTCATCTTCTGTATATAGTCCTACTGTCTTCAAGTTATGTCCTGGAATTTGTAGTGACAAAGTCACTGGATGGCGAAACGTCTACAATAAAGATATCCAGATGTCTTAATTTCATCTTGTCGGTATTATATACCATTCTTGCACAGTGTAATAAATGACTGATTTTT